AGTATAGCAAAGGACTTCCCAAAGAATTAAACTGCACCAATGCTTCTGATAAGCGGTGAGCAGAGTATACACGAATTACTGGGAAAATCTTTCCGAAAATGGTAATACTGACGGATAAAAAGAACGACAGTACTATTGCTACGGTTACCATAGCTGTTGTTTTGGCCACCTTACATTCGAGTCTGTTTTTGGCTGAAAAGGCGACTTTGTTGATTTGATTTCGGTCGCGTTTCCGCACTTCGAGGAAAATCATGAGATAGAAAAAGGCAGTGAAGGCCAGGCAGCTGATTACCGCAACACTTTCTCCTGCTAACCACATTGTAAGGAATTTGCGATCCACACCAGCCTCTACTAGTAGAACTGTTGGACCTTGTGTGGTAACTGCGCAAAGCCAAACAGCTATCGCAAGTCTCTTAAGGCGCCTTTCTGTAACTCTGTTCCTGTATTTTATCCAGCTTTTTATTGCGTGTACCGCTCCCAAGCAATGGCAGTTAAATGGTACAACGATGATATGGACAGTAAAAAGATCATTGGTTTGTTTACCAGGGAATCTAATGTACAGATGTACTCAAATGGAACCTGCCTGATTACCAACACATCGAGAATGGCAGATAGTGGCTTATTTATAGCTCCAGTCAGGAGATCTGTGACAGCCATGCTGCGTAGCCAAATATTCGAGCGTTTTCTCAATTCTCTTCTTTTCTTAAATGCAACAATCAAGAGAACGGTAAAAGGAGAGTCAATTAATATTATAGCCACTAATATCCAGGGGAAAGTTGTGTTGTTTAAATCCCACATGAAGTTTCGAAGTTGAGGGCAGAAAAACATTGACCTGTCTTCTGTTGAGGAGAAATTTGTGTTTTTGTAAATGTGTCGATTGCAGCCATGTTGGCACGAGCAACTGTCCGCAGCGATGGGACAACGTTATGTGTTTCCTCCTTATCATATAGCTGGCAGCGCTCACGGGCAAGATGATGCGAATCTTGTGTTTTGATTGGCTACCCGAGCGGGCAAGATGGGCCCATTTTGCATTGCCCGCTCGGGATTGACCGCTTTGATCCCGTGCAAGAAAAAAAGTTAGTGGAGGGGACTTACAAAGCTCGTAGCTTTTGGAAAATGTCGGCAACGAAGTCGCAAACAGCGGAAGAAGACATTGAATTCAAAGAAAAAATTAAACGACCCACTTCGGTTTATTGTGCGAGAAGACAGTTGGCTTTCTTTCCTTGCTCTTCAAATACAAAAGTCTTTCTTGATTTTCATTAAAGCGAAATATCTTTGCTATAAAGAATTTCTTTTAATGGTCAGTAACTCATATTTATTTGATCGAAATGTGATCGAATTCAGTATCCCCTCGTCCGTTGAAGCTTTAGGTGAGATTAGAATCAACCTCGTTCCCATGACCTTTTCCTTTAGGTTTCCTGAGGTAGTATTAGAGATTGGACGAGGTAAGGTTTGTGTTTCGACCCAAGCCCTCTCCGATTTCTTTCCCCGCCGCCTGGAGTATCTTCCAAACAGTCTACCAAGGTCTCCTATGGAGAAATCAATTCCACGAGGACGTTTTGTCCTTTGATCTGTGGTCTGACCACGATAGGTAAAACTAAATGATAAGTGCAAGTACGGGTCATATTTGATTAGCAGGTGGGGCACCTGTTGAGGAAACCATGACCTGTTCATTTATTCTCTATTTTCAGACAGGTTCACAAACTCCCTGAAATCTCAATTCTGCTTTTGCTCGGCTCTTACTTATTATTGGTCAATGAGTATTTTGGCGTGGCCTAAATTGACCAAATTAAGGTATCAAATATTTGAAATCGTTTTAGTAATTTGAACTTAATTCAGGATTTATTATCGTTAGATTTTGTAAAATATTTAATTTTCTATTGATTTATTTTTTATAACTATTTTTTTAAATATATATTGTCTTCATTTAATGGTTTTATAACTTCTATTTTGAACAATCTACCTTCTCGGGTGCGCAAGCCAGAAGAAAGAAACAAAAAAGATGAAGCCATAAAGAAATGCATGGATAAATCAATCAATCAAAGATAGACGGCATGTGAACAAATTTCAGGGAATGGACAGCGGACGGCGGACGGTCAACGGCCGACGGCTTTGAGTAGATAAGATTTCTCAGTTGACTTTCACTTACGCAAGGTATTTCTTTTCAACACACCGCTCAGAGGTGATTAAGAAATAATCTCTCCCCATAATATCCCTACGTCATCCAGCAAGCAAGTAATGAGAACACTCAAACTTATCAAGTAGAAGTTGTTATCCTGCTCTAACACCAAATTCCCGTTACCTATTTACAAGGAAGTGTGTAGCAGCAAGGGAGGCGAATTAACAATCCAATCCACTAGGTTTCTGTTGCTAAACAGGCAACATCAAGTTGACTGTTCGATACCAAAGCAAGCTTCTTGCCTCCAGGGGGCATTGGAAAATTAAGTTTTCGCAAAGTTTTTCTTATTTCCCTCTCGTCATTGTAGAAAGGGAAGACTTCCCTTAATCATCTCATTCGATCCTAGTGAACTCTTCAAAACCTTTGTAAATAAATGATTGCCTTATCTTGCTGAAAAAAATATTTGGTATTTCTCAGTCCCACGGCCTTTCAATACCCACAATCTTCAGCAACAAGAGAGGAAGAAAAAGTTACAATAATGTATACTCGCAGAGGTTCAAAACATTTCACTCTTTTCCTAGCACCTACAATTTGATGAATCAATACGACTCTAAATTTTCAATTTGGACTGCAATAACGGTACAATTAAAGTTATCAAAATTTTTCATCGTGGGAATTATAAACTACTATAAACCTGCCTATGTAAATAAAGTGTGGCAGGAACTACGTTTCAATGGTAGAAAAAAAAGACAACTATTTAAAGTAAATTATAAAACTGACATGGCGACTTTATCGTGCAGGAAGCTCGCAAAAAGATTGTACCCTCTCCAATCCATTATTCTATGTTTTCATTTCATGGATCTCTTTTGAAGCTAAGCTTGCAGGATTGTTCTTCAAATTACATGGAGTTAATTTCTTTTATTGAGAACATCTACCAACTGATAGCAGGTTTTTAAAAGAGCGAACTTAAATCATACTTTCTCGTAACTTGCAAACGTGTTTAAAATGATTAATTTGCATTCGTTACATATTTTCATAAGCAACAGAAATGAAAACAAATTGGGTTCTGCTCTTTTGGCCGTCTCTTTGTCCACATACACCGCCCTGTATTGTCTTGATAGGATCTCATCGTCTGGTCGCTGGCGGTTTGATATGTTTATCATTAAATGATTCCCTTCGATAAACCAACGCGTCTATGCCTTTGTGGGAACACGTTGAAAGGTCACAGCCATTGAAAACTAACAGCCGTATAAGATTTCAACCAAGTTTTCACTGGGTCGATTTTGTTAGGGGAAATCTTCTCTCCTTTGTAACAATTTTTGTACCATCTAGTTGCAAACTGGTCGCCAAAACAGGAGGATAACTTTATAGATCAGAGAAATTTGCGTTAAGTTGGTCCACTTTCTTCAGAGAAATGACTGTAGTAAAAACGTGTTGGTAATAGATTTTCAAAAATTGATATGTACGATCCGTTTCAAATAACAGTTTCGATAACACAGATTGTCAAAGGAAATCGACAATAAAGTGAAAAAGAAATTGTTCATTTAAACAGAATATTATTTTCTTATAGGAGAGCGAGAACCGATGTAAGTATTTTTATCTTAATTAAAACAATTTTCTGTCGGTGAAATTTCACTTTCATAAGTTAGCGGTAACTTGCTTTCATTTTATGCATCAAATTAATTCTGGCGGTTTTGTCAGAGATTTCCAAAGACGTGAAAACATCAAGAGCCTTATTAACAAAACTATCAAGATTGTTGATGTCCATCTGTAGCCTTTTAATGGCTTCATCGGTTACAAGATCGTTTGGGCAGGTTAGGCAAATAAACTACTCAGCTTTTGGTCGTGGTGGGTCGGTAGCCTTACATCTGCAGCCTTTGGAGAAAATTTTAATTAGGTCAAAATTTCCTGTCAAAGCATCTTTGACAGACCACTAGGAAACATGACCGCACTTCTGCTGTTTACACGACAAGGCAATTTTTGCATAAATAATAATATTTTCTTTGAAGGAACTTTCACTACAAATGCTTCACAACCGACAAAATTGGGCTTTTCGCCATGGTAACTGTGTGTGTTAAAACTTCAGAGAGACCGTACTGACAAGTGACTGTGTTTAATCTTTTTTCACCGTGGTCAATTTTATATCTTCGCTGATTAAAGCTCTTTACCTGCCAAAAACTTGGATAAATTTTTAACAACTTTGTTCTCGCAATCGACGGTAATATCGAAAAGCCGGGCATGCGCTGTGCCTTCACCACCAGGTGGAAAATACTTAGAATTCGTATTCGCTGCATGCACGTGCCGGTAAAAGAATTATAATGGAAATTCCACCGGTTTTAAATTGTCTTCGAATCTTTTGTAGAAACAAAGCTATCTCGTTCCTTCGCTTTTGTCTTTTGTCAGTGCAATGTTTAAACGAAGCCTTTGCGAAAATGATTAATCTCGAAAAGGTCTCATTAAATCTTATGCAATCTGTCACGATAAATAGATTTCAAGCTCTTTGGCTTTGTGGTTTCTAATCCTTGATGTGCTTTTTCGCACACAACGCTTCAAGCTAGGGAACGGTGTGATTTCGAGCTTTAAATCCGACGTTTATCTTTGACCACACTACTGCACGATACGTCGCTACACTCAATACCGCAACTTCCTAAAGTATTGATAAGTAATCCAATTAGCATGTAAACAGATACACAGTTTGTCGCTTTCATGTCTCTTCCCACACAAGGCAATCGCTACCTCTCTTGTGAAGGCAAACGACAAACCTCTTCCTAGCCAAGAGCAACCAATGGGAGGTGTCGAAATGTCGCAATAATCACGCAGCGACCAATCAGCGTGTAGCTGGACGCCTACACCTGTTCATTTTCATTCCCGTGGATAAATTTCACTTAACTTGTCCGTTTGCCCGGGGAAATCGCTTAAACACCTCAGCTGCTTGCCTAGTAAATTAAAAGCAAGGTGTTGTCTCTTAAACAAAACCAAAGGACCGTTTATGGAACATTCTTCGCTTCAGCTGTCCTTGGAAACACAACAGGCGATGCAAGGTATGTGAAAATGGAACAATTTAAATGACTTTTTTGACTTGCCTTTCCACGCCGGTACTTAGCACGTGAAGTCGGTGAACGATCTTAGAATTTTTTTTTACCATGACCATCCCCTGTCTGTTATAATTTTAGCTAATTTCTTTTTAAGTATATCGGAAGCAAAGTGCGGAGAAATGTGTCTAGTTTTGTGGTGATGAGCGTTAAGGCGTGTTGCATGCTGGCATCACATTCTTGTTTTGATTCTCGCCTGCTCGAAACATCAACGAACGGTGCGAGAAGGGTGTTGTTTAATAGGACAAGACTCGTATTTCAAGCCAACGAATTTCCTTTGATGCTAGTAAGAAAAAACGAAAATAGTCTGCAAAACTTTCCGACGCCTTTTGTTGTCAGGGCTGCTCGATGTGTTCGCGATTACGACGCAGTGTTTTATTCGCACTGATTTCGCATGGCCACTGGTTGATCGAATAAACTCGCGAACGCTTCTCAGAGTGCAACAAGCCAGATTTGTCCTCAGCATTAAGATCTTATCTCTCAGCTGCAGAGCAGTTCTGCAGAGACGAAGCGCGGTTTCTAGAAAGGTGATTGGCTCACTTCGGCTCTTATTGAGAAATTTTCCAAATTTGCGCTGGGTAGCTTCTGACTAAGGCCGCTGAATTCGGTCTCTTTTAGCCGTAGATCGCAAGCCCATTATCCTGTGTCGGGTCTGTGGGGATAGATCATCTGGAAAACATTACGGGGTTTTCACCTGCGACGGATGCCGAGGCTTTTTTAAGAGGAGTATTCGTCGTAATCTCACATATCAATGCAAGGAAAGAGGCAATTGTACTGTGGATGTAACGAGACGAAATCAATGCCAGGCCTGTAGGTTAAAGAAGTGTTTTGAAGTGAAGATGAACAAAGATGGTAAGTGGTCATAGTTCAACACTATTTCTTGACTTACTGTAGTCCTTGACCATTTCTAAAAAGTAGACATCAATTCTGTAAAACGGCGGAAATTCCACTCAGTTGTTTTGGGGTTTGTGCGTGCTTGGGGTAAAATCGCTGAGGCGTGCAATCGCGATGCAGACTGAGTTTTTATTTAAGTGCAAAACTGAGCTTACAAACTGCGAAAGTTTTTAAACTCATTTATAGAGTACTTTAAATGAAGCATTAGCTAGAAGTTATGATTTCTGTTCAGTTGTATTCGAAAACCCATTTTGAATTATATTGAGGAATTACCAAGAATAGTGATCAGTGCTCGGCAAATCTCACCCGCGCTTAATTGAATTGTTTACTGAGTAAGAAACCTTTTAAAATTTTCTCGTTTTATCTAATTCTCCGTAAAAATGCACCAAAGAAACTTAATTTTCCGCATAAAGAAAAAAGATAACTTGATAAAGCTTTTTTTTACACCCAAACGCATCAATCGGACATCACGGATAAATTTATCAATTTCATCACAGGGCTTTATTTGTGTGTTTTACTGCCGTGGGGAACTCATTTAGCATCATTAGGTATGAAACAAAAAAAAAATTGGATGGATTAAACATGTAGAAACGCGATTATAAAAGACTAAATTTACTTAATAATTCTACGATCGAGTTAAGTAGAGATAAATCGTTCTCCGCTCAGCTCGGGAACGAAGCTCCGATCATTGCGCCAAAGAAAACATCTGCATTTCAACAGTTCAAACTATAGAGAGCGGGTCCCATTTATTATTAATGCAATCTTAATTGCAGATCTTTCCCTTTTTCCCTTCAGAACTACACAGGCGTTAATGAAAATGTATCAAATTGCGTTTGAGTTCTGTTGCCTTTTTTCATGTCCTTTGGCGTAACACCATTTTAATTTGGAGTTCGCTTTGGTCTTTCCAGTCTCATAATTAATGCCTGTGGCCGACAGGCAGGTATCAAAACATTTATCGACTGCGGTTTTCGTCGACCTAAGGGGTGTTTTTGGTTTAGAATCGGTCGGTGTTTAATAATTCACAAAGGCCTTGTTTGACTCAACATTCAGGCGTGATCAAGTCGCGCGGGCGTCAACCCAAAAACCTGAAGCAAACAAAAGTTATGCTAACAACTGCAGGTCTTCGTAGGCGTCTTTTCTCGGGGTATTCAAACTGGAATTTGCCCTCTTAGACGCATATCATTAGCGCGGATCGTGCAAGACTCTGTAGTTTCTTTGGCTCGAAAAAAGTAACGGAGCTCTTCCAAATGAAAGATGTTTCCTTATCTTTTTAATCCATAAGTGCGAGAGATAACTAGTGTGCCGGCCGCTTCATACTATATCTACGTGATCCGTTGCTTAGGCTTTGAAATAATTTCATTGGCAACTCTTCAATTACGAAAACAAGCCATTATCTATATCCATTTCGAACGATGGATAGTGTAATATAAGTTTTCTTTTTGGGTCAGTGCGATATTTCCAAAATAGCAAACCCTCTCCCAAGTCGCTTTTCATCGGCAGAGACATAGCTTCAAGTACATAATCTTCTACTCTTGCCGTGAAAGTTAGTGAGATTAAAGAAAAAAAATACTTCTAGACGGATCAGAAGAGAAATATTTTCTGACTTTAATAATCGTACTTGATATTGATTAAGAAACAACTCATGCCAAACTGTTAACGGCATAGGGAAACACGTTATAAACTTCCTGTTTACAGAGCATCATATTTTTTTAGTCTTCCGTTTTTCCGAAAAGCCCTGAGTCATTGCGCTTAGATTTTTTTGACAAATCTCAGTCAAGCAGACTAATTCGACTGATTGAAGACCAAATGAGAGATACATCGATTTTGTCGTAAACTTGCGTTCAGGAATTTTTTCAGACAATTTTTTTCAAACGATTTTTTTGATAGCTTAATAAGTAAACTGCAACTTTTATGATTCATTCCTCTGGCGATAAGCGGGTTGAAACGCGCATTTTGCTAACGTACGTATTTGACAAAGAATGACTTGACTTTTCCTTTTGTTTTTTTCTCCGGGCCCATTTCGTGACGTTTTGAGGTTGCTGTATATCTATAGTAAAAAAGGCGTTTAATATCTTCCAGCTCAAGAAGTTTTGTACCAAAATTTATATTGCTCTCCATGAATGTTATTTTCCAGGGATACAAAATAAATGAACAATTACTGATCTACAGAACAAACCCGTATCTAAGTTACGACGTGCAAAATACGGTTGAGTAATTTCAAGAAGCGATGCGATGCGGTTTTGAGTTGCTATAGCTGAAATAATAATTTGAATGAAATTCTTGTTGTTTAGGGATAGAGAAGTTTAAGGGCCTAATAACAGGAAGGTGACGAAATGATACCTGATTTTGGTTTAAAAAATTTTACAAAATTTACGTCCGTTTAAATTAGAAATGCCGAGAAAACACACTAATTTTCAGAAGACGTCAGGGAAAAAAAATTTCCAATAGGTTAAACTCAAGATAAAATTCTGTAAACATGGGAAGAAACATGCCTGTCCCAAAATTTCCAGCATAGTTAATTCGTCAATTTTATAATATCGTTATCGACGTAGCAAATGGGAACAAATGGTTCAGATTTTTGTGTCACGGATCCTCAAGCTACGTTTTTTTAAAATTTTTCTACCGATAGACAAGGCTTATCCCTTTCTTGAGTTAATAACATTGTTTTTTTGCGGTATGGTTTTGTTCAAGTTTGAATTATCAACAAGCAATTCTGAGTTTTATGTTAGATATAAGGCAGTTTTATAGTTTGCATGCAAACCTCAGAGAGAATTTCAAGGCGAATATTTCGTTCCTTCATCCTTTCTACAGCCGTCCAACACGAGAGGGCCCCACGCTCCTCGCAAGCTGTCCCAATTGTCCCCACGTGCTCATTACTCAGTGGATCATACGAACAACCTCCCACGCACGCTGTCCCAGAACAGCCGTTCTCTTACTCCAAAAGCAACCAGGGTGACAGACCACAGCGCCACAGCAGCCCAGAGCGAGAACTGGAACCGAACAGATCGAGCGACCTATCACGCTTCTCGCCCCCAGTCTCTCAGTATCACGGCCAGAATAACAACCAGTCACCAGACTCCTCCAAGAAGCGCAACTTTCTTTCCATAGCAAGTCTGATTGAAACAAAAGACAACTCTGCGCAGCCTTCTCCGAGTACTACCACCTCCAGCCCTAAACACGAGAGTGACGACCCTAGAGAAAGGTCACCACTCGTGTACCAACCCTCCTCGGAGTCCGTATATGAGTCCGCCGTGCAGTTACTGTACATGTCAGTTACTTGGGCGAGAAATATACCCACATTTTTGGATCTTCCTTTCCGTGATCAAGCGATCTTGCTGGAAGAAGGATGGAGTGAGCTTTTCGTTCTGAGCGCTGCCCAGTTCTCTTTGCCAGTGGACATGGGGCCGCTTCTATCTGCAGCTGGTCTGCAGGTGGATAAAGCGCCCACAGATAAAATCGTGGCGGGAATGGCAGACATTCGTCTGTTACAAAATGTGGTGGCGAGATTCAAGCGGCTGCAGATTGACTCTACTGAGTATGCGTGTTTGAAAGCCATTGTGCTATTCAAGCCAGGTAAGAAGATATTTTCAGCCTTTCATGTGGGTGAAAATAAGATTTATGAAGAGTGGGTGGGCAGTATCTTGTTTCCCCTCCCTCTCATTCTTCTATTTTTGTCTTCAGTCTCTATGCAAACTAGCTAGTGTACGGTTAAGCGTGTCTCGGATCTTTTACGCTGTTGTAGACGCTTTGATATTAGTATTTGCTAACCTGGCGTCAAGAGGTTATAATCTCTTGCTGGCGTACAATGTCTTGTTGGCATCGATTTAGCTTACATACCATTAAACAATTAGATTATGAATCCGAGGTTTCTATCGCATGATAGTTTACAACGGCGCGCGAAGCCACAACCATCGGCAATCGCTGACATAAAAATAGAGATCGAAAAATCTAGTTTTTCTCCTTTTAGTCTTGGTACTAGTAGTTCCGTCAAAACGGTGACTCATCAGCAAGAGAGGCTTATATTTTTGCTCTTCGTATTTTGTTTCCACTGCCTACTGTTAAGATGCTCTTTTTCCTGTTTATCGCGGAATGGATAACGACTGACAGAACCAATGAGTCAATGAATTTGAATCTATGAAAATCATATATGTGTACTACGGTTTCATAAAATGTATGAAAGCGATCCTCATAGTAATTAACCCTACTTATGTAGTAGTGGAAATAAGGCCTGAAATAGAAAAAAAAATTCGGAACCAATGAAATTTCAGCATTTGTAGTAGAACGGTAGCAGATTTACAAAAGTAAGTTATTAACTACTTTGCTCTGTGTAAATTTTCGTTGCAGACCTTCGTGGTCTCCGAGCGCCTCACATGGTTGAAAGACTGCAAGATCAAGCCCAAGCCATGTTGGGAGAATATTGCCGCGGCCACAATCCTGAACAGCAAGTGAGATTTGGAAAGCTGTTGCTGATGCTACCATCATTACGCTCCATCAGTCCTAAGATGATAGAAGACTTGTTCTTCCGCGGGGCTCTTGATAACGTCCCCATTGAGAGAATGCTGTGTGATATGTTCAAATCAAGCTAAGCTGAAGGCTACTATCTCCTAGAAAGTACAGTGCTCTTCAGTTTTCGTTTTGAAAGGAGAGCTTGTTATTTGTGAACAGTTTAGTTAAATAAGTAACTCGGTTGTTAATTCCATAACCTACCTTTTAGCCCAGATGAAGTACAGCTGTCAATTTTAAAGAAGGGAGACCTCCAACAAAGCACTCATATAGCGTGGATTGCCTGTCCTTAGCCGGGGCGAGATGCGCAGGAACTGGGCCTTTACGCTAAGCGCGGGAGACAAGGGGTCTACTAGTGCTTAGCGCTAAAAAGATTTGACACCAATTCAAATGAGATTTAATCGATTTTTATTTGTTTTTACTGCATCCATAAGTTTCAGCCAGAATTAAATGCAGTTAAGTTACAGTTCAGAGCAAGTGTCTGAAGATATATGTTACTAGTAACATGTCTTCAATGTGGTCAGCCCCGACAACATGTGTACATTATAACCTGCTCGTTTTGCCACCTGTTTTTCGTTTTTCTTCTACGCCAAGGTTCTCTTGATCCTCTATGCCTGGGTTCGTTGTATCTCTTTAAAGCTAATTTATAATCCTTTGATAAATTGATGCTTTGATAAACAAGTTAAATATGATGGCATTCAGAGGATGACACAGGTATACGCGGAGAAAAAGGAACTCCGAAAAACGATAGGAATCGAACCTGCGACCTTCGGAAGCTTTTTGATTAGTGCTTCGGACGCTCTACTCCCCTAGAAGACCTGTGTGTACGATGAAACACAACTGGCCTTACGGCAGTATTGCAAATAATCAAGCTGGAAATTAGAGTAAGTCGTGAAAAACTGTAGTATTTATTTATGTAGATAGTTATTTTATTTTCAGTTTTTCTGCGTGTTTCGATAAAGGTTTTTTTTTTAATAGGATCGGAAAGAAAAGTCAGTATCGGTGTTTTTCCTTTGAAATTTTTTATCAACTTTTTTGTTTTGCTACCTTCATTTGAAAGCTTTTAAAGCCAAGTTTTTTTTGGATAGTACTTGGTATGAGATATTTTTTTCCAGGGTTCAAATTTTATTTCGTAAACAGCTTAAAAGATTCATTGCTAAGATTGTTCGCAAGCATTAGTATATTTTAAAGCTCTGCGAATGCGTAAATGCAAACGATGGCCTCTCTCGTACTTAGCTGAATCTCGGTGGAGGTTTTCGATGGATTTTTTAATGTTTTTATCTTACAATATTCTGAGGGAATTCCTTTGAAATGAAAACGATAGACTAATTAAAAGCAAAGTTTGTTGAAGTATAAGGAAACCGAGCAAAAATAAAGTATGAATAAATATGAAGAACCCCTTCGATTGAAAGCAAACTTTCGTAGTAGCTTCGTTTGATTTCTAAGACATTTTGATAGGGAATATTCACTTGTATCTGCCTTTTTTTTTTAACATTTGGTAGCAAAGTATTCATAGAATAGTGAAAATGTTTAGTAAACTCTTATGTATATAATCAAGAGAACATAAACTGTTAACTAATCTCTTGATGTAATGTAAATATCTGTAGCATACAGCATTTTGGTAGTTCAGAACATTCAAGTTAATGTATCAAATTTTGTTTTTTTTTTTTCAAATTGTTTTATTCAAATTGTACCACACTAAAGCGAAAATGAAGTCCCATTATTTTTGCTTTATACATCATTTTCAATAGCTTATAATAGGTATAGTGAGGTTACGTGCTAAGACTATCAGTTAAGTTTCTAAATTTATATCGATAAACTTTTTTTTGTATAGGGTTGTTATGCCATGTAAGAACCTACATTTGTGGTTCCAGGCCTTCGCTTTATTAAATAAATGCAAGGGACTAAGCACAAGTTTTGAGCGCCTTTTAAGTGTCCTTCAAGGAATGACCTCTGGACGATGTGTACGCAGACTTCTCAAAGAATCATAGAGGTCCGCAGGAACTAAGTTGCGCGGAGACATTTATAATCTACTTTAATCTTATTCATTTTCAGTTTTACTTGCTCCATCTTAGTCTATCTTTCCCATTTGTGATGTTCTGTGTCACACATAACATTTTGATCTCGTCTTGAAGTTTAGGGAAGTCTTACACAGCGCTAAAAATAACTTGAAATATTGTTATTTGTCTCCTTTAATTAATGTCGATGACTAACTTTATCACTAGCTTTATTAAAAATTACGCCTCAGACAGGTTTAATTTGGCAAGAAAACATCAAACCTGACCCATTTTTATCAGATATTTATAAAATCGAAACCCCGAGTGAGTTTGCCGTTTTTAAAACACAGTCGGCTTTGCTTTTTTACTTATTAGTTACTCTTTATTTAATCTAGTTTAGTTTACCTTTTTATCAATTCGTTTTAAATTTGACTACAAATATATCATACTCCAACGATTATTTTGCACAACAGCTTCAAACTTTGTTTTGAATAACAATTCACTTTGATACAAATGTTGTGTTTGAATAGTGGGATTTTTTTTCTTAATGTGAGTAATATAAATTTGCAAAGTGTAAGCCCGACGCAAACGCTTGTGATAATGTTTATTGTTGAAATAAAAATCATCTTATCTTGCCATATAGTTCGTCATGCGTGTTATCAAAATGGAGGGGATCGACGATCTTATAGGTTAAAAAGTCCAGCCGGTTTTCATTATCTTCGGAACTAAATACACCGTCTGACTCTTCTTCTAAATCATAGTATACCGTATACGGGAGGGATATCTCGAGTTTTCACTCTATCCGAAGTTCGCCCCAGGCTTTTCCAATTCTCCCTGATACCAAGACGAGTTCTCCCCTAACGAAAAAAAAACATTAGTCTTAAAACATCACACCTAGGCGAAAAAATTGTATATTTCGGCAGCCACACCGTAGCCACGAGCGCCTTTCTTCTTAAGTTCGTGTCGTCGGCGAAGTGTTTTGCATGCAAAACTGAGAATGTAACTCAGTACGCTATTTCTACTTACCCCGTCAAAGAAAATATGAACAAAGTGTTTAATAATAAACGTTCCAACTGGAAATGAACTTAGAGTTGTCAGACTAGATGAAAAAAAACAAAACAAAACAAAACAAAACAAATAACAAAAAAATATTTGAGTGAGGTTTAATGTGTTTCATTTTGAGTTTTTGGAAATTTTTTTCATTCACGTACTTGATTTAGGCGTGTAAGATTGGCTTGTAGCCTAGCGAAGATGCCTTGAGGTCATAATCTGATAATAATCCTCGGAAGAGCCTCATCAAGAGCATTTTGCAATAATCGCCAGGACGAGAGGTAATTCATTGGTCGTGCGAGCCTGGATCGAGTCCTGGCATTGGGGGCACCAAAATGGCGGCGGATCGATGGAGTTTATCGGTTCTTGTGTGTGTTTTACTATTTTCATTTTCCACAATCGTAGAAACACAAAATGAGTACGACGATAAAGCTAGAGAGAAGGCAGCTGCTGAGAAAGTGGAGAAATACAGTGCTATCGACTCGGCATTTTTGCTTGTCATGATGTTTTTGTTGATTGTCACCGTGTTAACCGTATGGTTGTTTAAAGTGAAGCGTTTCCGCTTTCTGCACGAGACGGGAGTTTGTATGATATACGGTGAGTTTCTTATAGTAGTTGCGTTTAGTTGAAAACTTCTTAATTTTGCAAATTATTTGAAGTTACATAGGAGCTAAGCGATGTTTGAGCTCTTGACAGATCTGAAACCTTCAGCTGCATCGATTGTTTTACCGCCCACATTGCTGACCCTGCGATGTTTCCGTTTTTCGGCATATTGCCAAAACTTGCCTTCGAAACCGATAAATGTTTGATCCTCGTGGTAAACTTTCATTAACTCATGTTGGAGAACCTTCAACCTTGCATTCAATCTGCATTTGACCACGTAGCAGAGGAAGCGCAGAAGACTTTACGGAATGTTTCAAATTAAGAGATAAAAAGATCACATAGAAACAAAACAAAACGATAACAAAAATAATAGTAATTTTTCAAATTTATTATTTAGAGGTACACTGACATTCTGATACACACTGATAGATTAACACCAATATAAAACAATCACAATCCTACGAAAACAAGACTTTTGAAAATTCACCTGTTTAGTTCGGCAAGACGTCTTTGAAACCCCAAACATTAATTGTGCATAGAGTGTTGCATACTGCCCACTGATACAGCTCCACAGTTTCTTTAGGAAACTTGAGTTCTTTATTCTTTTCCTGAGTACCTTATGTACTTTTATCCCCACCCCCACGGTATCTGTGATCACAAAACAATGAATAGGGGAAGGAGAGGTATCACAAAGTTAATGATGAGTGGCAGGGAGGGGGGAGAAGGAGAAGGGGATTATAACACAGTGGTTTCAAAACAAGCTGGCGACCGACTGGAGTTCCGCTGCCTACTTGATTGTATGTCGCTGGCTACTCTGGTCATAACAGTCTGCTTGTGACAAACAATCTCGGCGTTATCACAGCCGCCTACTTTTCCAGTGTTGGCCGCCTACTTCAAAACATTTTGAAACCCCTGATAACAGTAGCGTGAGATTCGTTTCAAATTTCAGTTTTTAATAATTCCTTTAAATTTACAAGGTATATGTTGTGTCGACCACATTTTGTGGGGATTGGTTGTTGGGTAAATTGTGCTATGTTGTCCTTTTTTTTTTTTTTGTCCAGGTATGATAATTGGCTTTCTCATAAAATATATCAGTGGAAATAAAAGAGTGGCAATTTCTCACCCAAACTGTACCATAACCAGTCCAACAAAGAAGCTTTATATCAGTTTATCTAATGGCTCAAAGTATTCATATACATTGCTTGGACAAGTGCAGGATTCTAGCCTTGATCAGGGGAGTGAGTTGGAACAGATGGTAGGTGTAATAAAGTGAATTCATCTGAGAGAATTTACATGCAGATGCTTATAATAAACCAACTTTTAAGGTGTTGTTGTTGTAATTTTTTTTTTTTTTTTTTGCAAAAAAGTAATGTGTTTGGCATCTACTTAGTATAATTATAAATTATGGTACTTGTATAGTTATGTATCTAATATTCTGGCCCTCTGACAGGGTGCAGGAAAAAAATTAAAATTGTGCACTTTTTCAGAGGCAAATTGTGCGGGAGAAAAAGTTAATTGTGTGGGTAATTGTGCAGGATTGCATAATCTTGCGTCGAACAAAATATTTCGTATCCCACTCCCTGTTAAAGTAAACATCGGGTTCTCCTCATAAATCATACCTTTTGTAATATTAATGTGAAATTCCTCCTGTAATGGCTAAATGACTTCTAGATTTACTTTGAATTATTTTTATCGTATTGACTGAACTTTAGAACCTATTTTGAAGCAATTCTTTGTTCATCAAAGCGATCGAAAGAGCTAAACAAAAGCACTTGAGGAGATTGCCCCATAATTTGAGTTCGCTAGTAAAAGTTACTGTCGATGGAAGCTGTGTTTTCTTATTCCACTACGATTTACGAAAGTCTTAATATCTGACAACCCATTCGTCCTATAAATGCCAAGAATAAACATTCCTTTTTTCCACTTTGAATGAGAAAGCCACAACGCCAGTGGCCTTATTCAACAACACCTCTGATTCATTATTTGAAAAGCATAGGCACAAACCGCCAATAAAAAATAGAGTTAGAAGTAGACTAGTGCCCAGGAAAGCGTAGGCTACAGTAAGAACGCCTTGTTGTTTGAATAACGACGAGTTGTTTGATGAAAGCGTGGAAATGCTAGAGTGTTTTTGAAGGTAAATAGTCTGAAAATAGTCTAAAATATTCTAGAAATCTTGATACTTGACAGAAATACCCGTTTTGATTGAAATTTCAAATAAAAATTTCCGTATTGTGCGGGATTTTGTGAATTTTCATGGATTGTGTGGGATTGTGCGGGTTTGACTGAATTGTGCGGTTCCACACCCGCACACCCAGTCAGAAGACCTGAATATTATATTGTGCATAAATGGAACTGAGCCAATTTGTTCATCAAACTAAGATCAGTACGATGAAAAATCAGTCAGCTGCAAATGTTGTTTTAGGAAAAAAGATTAAAGAATAGACATGTTTTGGTTATATGACATACAGAGAATTCTGGTAAGAGCGATAAGTCACAGTAAGGGGGCACTGTGTCGACCCTCCACATCCTAACATCGGTCTGCATATTCTCCATACTGTTCTCTATACATTTCCTAAGGCACTGACAAGGAGAATTTGTTTAAAAGTCAACAGGTTCTTTAGTAGGGAATTGTTTCCAATATTCTCATGACCTTAAATGCTTGATTCTGGGGTGATATTTTAAGGAGAAACTAGATGTTGGTCACTATTTGGCAGGGCTGTGGTGTAGCAGCACCTGCTGGCTCATGGCACCTTACTTTTGCTCTTTGGTGACTCAGGAATCTTAGTTTTTTCATAAAAAGCATATGCAGGGCACCCTGGATTGTAAGAGTTTCAAAGCACTGGGCTCCCTTCAATTTTTCACAGAGCACAGCCTAATGTTTGGGGTCAAAGGGTTAAAAAGGGATTTACTGTTTTTAGAGTACAAGTTATCACATGCAGGGTGGGGTTGTTCTAAAGGTGGATAACTTTATACAATGGATAAATGGCTATCCAGTGGATACAAGGGTAGGATAAAGCCTGCTTACAAGCCAAGTGGCCCATCTGGCTGGCACTTAACTCTGGTTTCTATAGCATGAAGCAACTAGGAGTATTTGTACCCCTGGATGGAATGCTAGTCCATTGCAAGGTTACCCCCCCCCTCCCCTGCCATTAAATTCACCAGTACCCATTTATTCTCCTGGGTGAAGAGGGGCACTGTGAGAGCAAAGTGTCTTTCGCAAGAACACAACACGTGTCCCTGGGCCGGGGCTTGAACCCGAAGCACTCAATCTGAAGTCAAGGGCACTAACTATGAGGCCACTATGCCATCTAATCCAGTGGATAAGTGGTGACAAAATGAACCCTGCTATCTAGTAAATAGAGATTCATCTAGCGGATAACGTCATCCATCCTTTGAACAGCCAGGGCCTGGGCAGTAAGGAACTCAAAATTTTTCGCAGGGCTTGACAGTAACTTTTCGACTCACTTGCCAAGTGGCTGGTGACATCTTAGGTGTTACAACAATTTCAGTTTGTTTACCAGCCAAACTGGCCAGTGGAAATTGAAAACCACTTGCCTGAATTTCTTCTAGTCTGTGGCTAGGGGGCTACCATTATTGTTGAGCCCTGTTTTGCCTAAATAAAATAAATGACTCTTTTTATAAACAGTACAATAATATAATATTTTTGTTATCAGTAAGCACTACTTTGTTGATCCCAAATGAAAGTTTAAAGCATTTTTGCAAGGTACAATGAACATTTTTCCTTCTTCATCTTCTTGCAGGCTGTATTTGACCCTGAAATATTTTTCTACGTTCTACTGCCACCAATTATATTCTATGCTGGATATGACATGAAAAAGGTGATAACTAAATAAACTTTTGTTGTAATCTATATGCAATATCTACATGTTAGTGATTCAAATTTTTTTGTCTTGAAGTTAAACATGTTTCTTGATGTGTACTTCACTTTGTAAGGTTTACTTGCTCCAATAAGCCCACTCATTCTCACACATTCCCTCTCTTATATTTGTATCTTGTATTTGTTTTGCTTCATTTTACTGTAGGAAAAAATGTAATTAAAGTAAAGGGCATCTAATTAGCTTGCTAAATTATGCCCTTTGCCCTTCTTCATCCTCTTATCTTACTCGTAATTATTCATTAGTCTCTAATTTGTTGAAATGGAGGAAAAAAATAAATACAAATACAATACAAATACATTCTCGAATGGTATAAGTATGATATAGATCATATATCATCAGAATATAGAAGAAAATTTCATAGGTTATCTTTTATTTTTAATTATAAATTACTACAAAAAATAATGATTTTAATTATGATAATATTAAGCGTGAGGAAATTCATGTCCATAATACAATTAAGAAATAAATCTATGTTTTCTCTCCCTACAATAAAAACTAAGTAGGGGAAATCTAAGTCGGCTCATATGTTTTTTAATGAATGGAACTCTTTAATTGGATCACGCTGTGGACATCGGTAAATTATAGGATTTTTAAGAAACAATATTTTGATAATATATAACCTTTTCTTCTTTCTGTCCATTAATATAATATTCAGTTTTCATTAATTTATTTTTTCTATCTTAATTCTATTTTTTCAATGTATTTAGTTCTTGTACCTCGAATATTTTACAATTATGGCATTGTAATTAACTTATTTTTATATGGAGGTCCCACGTGGAAACCACCCAAGGGTGATGTGGTTTCCTCCTTAAATAAAGTTTCACTCACACTTCACTTGCTTTTATTTATTGTATAGATACTGATAAAATACTAGGATTTTTCCTTGTACTGAAAATTAAATCTTCATTTCATGCTGTTAAGATACTATTTGTTATCTTTCACGTGTGAGGATATTGGTGTTGCCATGGTTACTAACATGATAAGCCAATTACAAGAGAGCTTACCACTCAGGTGTGCAGCTGGTTCTTTTGAAATTTTCTTTTGGAATAGAAAATATAAATTATTATTGTCTTTATTTCTCCTTTATAACTTTATATCCGAGTTTCATAACATTCTTGTGACAGGCATTTTGGGGTAGGTGATGACTTAAATTGCACTATTTTGCTGTTTTGAAAATGAATAAAAAAAAGTGGTGTTTTATGTGGAAATTTCATCAGTATCTATAAAATAAACAGAACATTGCATGCTCACTCATGAGAGATACTTAGAGCACTTGAAGATAAAATTTGTATCCCCGTGCAGCAATGTAATATCACCTGTATCTATACTACACTTTCAGCGCTTTTTTTTCCGAAACATTGGTGCCATCCTAACATACGCATTTGTTGGAACAACTATATCGTGCATTGTGTTTGGGTGAGTAGATTTGGTACAAAGTTCTTTATGTTTGACAACATTCATGGTGTAATATTTATTTATTGTTCTTGTTGTGTTTTTTGTAAAAATATGATGCTTACATTACACCTACAGGACTAATGATGTGATCTCTTTAACACACCCATCTCTCTCTAATGAGAAGAAAAAGTTCACTGTATGTTTTATGGAAAGGAAAATGACAAATTAAATTGGGTGTGAATTTTATACAGTGTTCAGGGCTCGCAAAAACCCCCTTCCGGTCGTCCAGGACAAGTAGATTTTCCCTTCGGGCAAGTAACTTTCTCTCCTTCCTTGCCCGATGGGCAAGGACCCAATGGGCAAGCCGTTCGCTGAATAAATTTTTGATAATGATTTTGGGAAGAAAAGGTAAGCTTTAGGCCCAAGGGTAATCAAGTGTTTAGATGAAGGTTGACGAAAATTACAATTTATAGTGTTGTTTTTTTGATTGCGTGACGTGCACTCACAGCTCAGAAGTGGTTGCCTAGCACGTGATCAAAATCTTCCCCGATCAAATTTCTTTCAAGGATGAAAATAACCGTGTTGGGAACAAAAATGCTGTGGTTATTTCTGAATTGTAGCAATTTCCTGCGAGAATGTTTCAGTTTCTCTGTACAAAACTTAACTCAACAGTGATATATCAAATTAAAAGTGTAGAAATTGTACGTGAAAACTGAGAAGTCGCATATTTTTACCACGAAAACGAAGCTAGCCCTTTGGTTCTAAAATCCAGGTAAAATCCAGGTAAAATCCAGGTAAATCTCTGTTCCTGAATTATTAATTAGTTTGCTAACTTGGGCAAGCAGGGAAGTGCCCTGGGCAAGCAAAACTTAAGGGTTACTTGCCCAATGGGCAAGGTGTAATTCAAATAATTTTCGAGCCCTGGTGTTGTGATTAATACTAAAACGTTATCTTTGTCTTTGTCCTATAAAAACGTCCTTCTACATTTCTTTACCAAGCTCAAAGCTTACCATTTTTCTAATTCTTTACAAAACCATGACGATTTAACATTGCTGATCTTAGCAGTATGCAAGATGCATGTCATATATATATATATTTAGTATAATTTCAGAGCTGAGCAAAGAGTTTCCAGCAATCTGATTGGTCAAGTGGTTCCTTATATGACGCTATATAAACCACTCCACGCGGTTTATACAAAATGTTAAAATAAAATGTTAATAAATGTTATGAAAATGTTATGATTTTAGAAATTTCTCTGCTGTTCCGCTCTGAAATTATTCTAAAACATTTATTCGTCTCAGGTTCGGGGATTATTCGATGATATTCACCTCACCTTCAGCAAATAATTGTTAATTATTAAACGACTTGGGAAGTCAGAGGGCCAACAACTAAAGTCAACCAATCAAAATGCTCTATTGCCGGTCAATATTCTCTCAGTATTGGACTGGGCACTGTCCCGAATGGTCCTGAATGGTCCCGAATGATACCGCACTTGTGTCCCTTTGAACTTCAGTTGTGTAATAAATCTCTTATTAACCAAGCTTGCTTGGCACTGTACTGAAAGAATATCAGCCCTCGGTCTTTTTTGTATGGACCTCACTGCGCTCGGTCCATACTGTCAAGACCTCGGGCCGATATTCTCCCAGTACGACCCTCGCGCTTGGTTAATAAGATATATTTATGAACTTTGTAATGGGCCTAATGCTCACCATAAGGTCTCTGTGGCTCAATGGTAGAGCATCAGAATGTGGAATCTGAAGGTCTGAGGTTTTGATTCCACATAGGGACTCAGAATTTTATTTTGTCCCACGCTTGTGATTAGATAAAAAAAACATCTTTCTAAAACCAAAGTTATGACAGCCAATCAGAGGAAAAGTAACCAAGGGACAATGAGAACATTAAGGAGAGACAAGTTGTGATTGGTTTTAATTTGATTTGATAGGTTGAGAAGTTGGTACAGGTTTTGAGACAACCAATCAAAGTGTAAAGTAAAGGGAAAAGCAGTAAAAGTAATCCTAGATAAAGCTAGAACCTCAATTGAAAATTTGCTTAGTTTAAAGGAGTAAGAAATACTGTAAAAATACTTTGAATAATTATTCTTCTCTTGTTAATTACAGCTTGTGGTTATTTTTCTAATTAAACAGGGGGACAATATATGCCTACACAAAGTTTGATTCTAGTGTAGTGGAAGGTTTTGATTTCCTGGAATGCCTCATATTTGGATCACTGATTTCAGCCACAGATCCAGGTTTGTGGGACCTACAGTATACAGTATATAAAAATGGGACTGGCTGCTTAAGGCAATATTAGCCCAGTCTTGTTTATTATTTTCTTCCTTTAAAAGCACACACAACCCACAATTCCTCTATTCGCTCCGACGAAGGGCTAACGCTCGAAACGTCAGCTTTTGTAATCGTTACGGTGGCCAATTTACCACTTCAACTTTGTTGATATATCCAAGTTATTTCGTTAATCCCACTGACGCAGCCCCAAACAGTTTCTTTCAAAACTATCAGCCTTTATTATTTGTTCAGTTACCCTTCAGGTTTTTTTCAATGCAATTTAAGCGAGATCTTGTTTGTCAGATTATTGCATGTACAAGTCCAAACAAACCACACCATACATGTGGTCCAAACAAAGAAATTCAGTAAAACAGATTAACTTTGTTTTCATTACAAGAGATGACTGTCAGTTCAGATCAGGTCTAATTGGCTGATCTAGGATACAGATACATATATTGTGTACTAGGCTGTGATAAAGTTTGTTTTAAATGCTCTTTCCTTAAATAGAAATAGAGTACAGTAAACTAGTTTTTTCTTTACCTCACTCCACTTGTTCTCATTACCTGATAACCTGAACTCCCACCTACTCAAACATTTTTACTTCCCCTTTTAGTTTATTGCTTACTTGGGTTACTGAAAGATACTGGGTCCTAGAACCTTTTTCATATCCCTATTCTCTTCCTAATGTTAAGTTTTAAGTTTACGCCCTCTGCATATCCATCTTAAACATAATTGTAATACATGACCGTGTTTTTCTGTGATTTGTTTTGCAGTTACAGTGCTGGCCATTTTCCATGACCTGCATGTGGATGTGGATCTGTATGCTTTGGTGTTTGGTGAAAGTGTCATGAATGATGCCGTGGCCATTGTTCTTTTCAGGTAAAGAAGCAGTGTTTATCAGAATCAAAGTTTGAATGATGTCTCTTTAACATAATAGAATTGCATGTTGAATTGAGTGCACAGCATACTGTAGTTGATGTATTAGTTAGCTGAATCACAAATAAAGCTACTGACTGTGCATTATTAATGATTCCAAAAACAACAAAGAAACATGCTTTTTGATGCAGCTCTTGTAATACATAGATCCAGTGTACAGCATTAACTGTGTACAGCAACAAAGACCTCACCATCCACATTTGTACAAAACCTGTGTCAATTACTTGTACATAGTTTTTACTTTGAAGTTGCACATGAATTATGCCTTTGATAATGATAATTATAATAATGATGATATCATATTACTTTCTTTGTGTGCATTAGAGCTATTCCCAGAGATAATTTGGATATATTAACTAAGTTGAAATTGTAAATTGGCCACCGTAACGAGTTAAAAAGCTGACGTTTCGAGCGTTGGCCCTTCGTTGGAGCGAATCATTCAGTACATGTAACAACTGAAACATACAGCGGCAGTAGCTCTACATTTACATGCTGTGTCATGTGCTGTTTGAAATGAGTTTAATCAAAATCTCAGATGCCAATTGCTATTTAGTGCTGTTTTCCTTTTCAGATCTGTAGAGACATATTTGGATAAAGGCAGTGGCTTTCAAGTTAATCGTCTCTTTGAGTCAGTGGGTGTGTTCATTGGTGTTTTCTCAGGTTCTTTCTTTCTTGGTTTTGGTATGGGTCTTGTTACGGCTCTTGTATCCTTTAACTGCAGTTTATTTAATGTAATTAAGACCAATGGGGGATAAAATCTTGGGACACTTTAGGTGATATTCCAAAAATCAAGCCCCTCCTTCCTTGCCCTCTCCCTAAAATAATGATGAATTTTGTGTGCTCTTTCTTTTTTTTTGGGGGGGGGGGAGGGGGGAAGCTTTTGATATCTGTCTCAAGGAGTTGTGATGTCCATTGTAGCTACAGAGGCCTCAGGCTGTTTACACGTCCATGTATCATCGAGTGTGGCATGGGGTTAACACTACGAGCAGTACCTCCTTTTCGAAAAAGTCGGTTGCATGAGGTAAAATGAAAATCAGTGATAAAAATTGCTGTTTGCTACGGGAGCTCCATGAGTGTGACGTGCTAACAGCCTTTTATTTTCACTGATTTTTTTTTTTTTTTTTTTTTTTTTTTTTAAACTCAGGTAGAAAAGAAGGGTCTACTCGTAGTCTAGAACTCTGGCTGAAGCATGTGATTAAAAAGTGATTGAAAGGAAAGTGGTGGGTCGTTAAAGTGGTGGGTCTTTAGCTTCAGTTTCTTAATTCAGTAGGATTTGCAGAATATTTTATGGTTTTAGACCCTTAACATCACACCAAAAATAGGTGACAAAACTCACCAAACTGTCAGACTTTCCTCTGTTGGAGACAGCCTTGTTCTTTCTTCTGTCATGGACCACATTTCTCATGGCAGAGGCAGCCAATCTAACAGGTAACTTTCTAACAATTCATGGAGGAAAACCGTATTAGCCAGGTAATCATGTTTAAAAAATTAATGTTGGGAATGTAGTAAATAAAGAAAGCACTCGCAGGTAATTCTATACTGTGATTTTTATTATTACCATAGATTTGAGAATTAGTTTTCACTTAAGTGATCAGCAATTTGCTCATAGCAGGCAAAACGCCACATGATGGATGTCTTGTCGTTTTAGCCCTGTTAGTTACTTATTTTGTTTGTTTCTTTTTTCTTTTTTTGGAAATTGTAATGCTTATGATTAATTTGTAACAAGACGTCGCGTCGTCCAGCTCAGTCGGTAATCATATTCGTAACTAGAGAGACTTAGCATCACGTTTACTTGAAAACTGAACGGCAAGAGTGACCACGTGACCTTGATTTTCCTGCCATTTTTTCACGTTTGCCGGTTGCGCTTTGCCGTTTCTTCGTGAAAGTAACCTGTTTCGCGTTTGCCATGTACGTAAGATTTAGCTTCCCTTTTTCTCTCACAAAGTAGAAGTTATTGCCGGATAAAAGCCACCAAAACTTTATTAGTAGTACTATAACCAGTATTATCATTATCATATCCATGTGCATTGTTATTGAAACTGTACAATCATTTTCATGCTGTTTTCTTCTAGGGATTGTTGCAGTTCTTTTTTGCGGAATATCTCAAGCTCATTACACATATAACAATTTGTCAGAGGAGTCAAAACAGAACACAAAACAGGTACTGTACTTAGAGTAAGTCTGGCTTGTCATTTACATGTGTACTTTACAGTCCCTCGAACCTCGATACTCAATAACAACCTCGATCCTCGATACTCGATCCTGCGAGGATCGAGGCTCGATAGTTATCTCGATCCTCGATCCTGCGAGGATCGAGGCTCGAGTCGAGTTTTGGGACATTCGAGTTGAGTATCGAGACCCTCAAAACTTGTGGGTAACAAAGGAGTTTCGTGTGATTAGTTTTTCACATGATTTGAAGTTCCTTAACCTTAGTCAAATCCATGGAATGAATATCCATAGAGCGTGCATCGTTGCCGATGGGGCGATGCTTTACTCGAAATATACCCATCATCAAAACATATTATTTAGTTATTATTTTGTATAGCTACAGGGTTATATATACCACATGGTAAATTGATGCAAACTATACCAGTGGGGGATTTCCAGCTCTTTCTACCGAAAACAAGCTAACCATGATATAATTTCCAACATTTCTTTGCAGACTTTTGCACTCTTAAATTTTCTAGCGGAGAGTTTTATATTTTCGTACATGGGGTTATCTCTCTTCACCTTTCAACATCATCAGTGGAATTTTGGATTTATATCATGGACATTTGTATCTTTTTCATTGATTTAAATGATACAATGTGGTCACAATGACTGGGAAAGGAACAGCTGATAACACTGATAACTGCTCTACATTCGCAAATGAGAGTAAACGGCTAAAATTTTCAGTAGTTTAGATAATAATTATTGACGGGATGGTGTCAGCATCTTTGATTAGGAAAAAAAAAGATGTAAAAATAAAACAGTAGCGCTCATGTGAATTTGTAGAGAAAACATTTTTGAACTGTTAGCTTTTAAATCAATTGTTTCTCTATTTTACAGTGTATTGTTATTTTTGTTAATGTTTTAAGATTTGTTATACCCTGAATAGTAGACACAAACAGTCTGTGTCCTCTGTGCTACAAACGACTCAGTTTATACAGAGCTACATGTAGTTTGTTTGACGGGCTATGAAAGGCGGAAAATCAGAGATGAAAGCAACGGCGCAGTAGTTTATTTTGAGAGCTCCACGAGAGAGAACACAATCTTTTGCTTCTGTGTTCACTCTTTATGACATAGTTAAATTATCAGGAGTTTCTTTCGGTCAATCGGTTTGAAACGATTTTATAGCTAATGGCTGTTTTGCACCGCAAAAGAATTAGCTATAAACTATGGATTGCCAGTACACTTGTTTAACTACTAACATACCTAAGCAAGAGCCCGCTCAGTGTCATGCTGTGACGTTATCTTAATGTTTGAATGTTTCTTGGTCTTTCATCTGTTACTGATTCTTAACTCTTCGTTGTGCAGCTTGCCATGACTCTAGGAAGGCTTTTAAACGTTTATCCATTATCATTTTTACTAAATTTGGGAAGACACAGAAAGATTAGTTACAAATTTCAGCACATGATGGTGTTTGCAGGTTAGTGATGTGCTAGTTGTATTTTCAAGGAAAGTGATGTATGAGCAGGGTAGCATTATCAAGGACAGTCAGTGCTCTACGTGGAGTCCAGGGTCCAGTTGTTCAAAGAACGGATAACGCTATCCAACGGATAAATCGCTATCCAGTGTATAAGTGTTGGCGAAACATACTGTGCTATCCACCGGATAGAGATTTACCCATTGCATAGCGTTGGCCACCCTTTAAAAATGTGGGGCCAGTTTGGGAGTCCGATCTGTTAGCTGCTTGTGTGATTACACGCACAATGGGAAGACACAACATCCTGTTCCAAGTTAATCAAGTTTGTAACCAAAATTAAGAAACACACTATGGGTTAATCCTCTTTTATGAATGAAAACACGACACGAGTGACTGAACTGGTGTGGAGCTCGTGTTGTTAAGTGCTCGATTGTTTTTGTCCTTCTGCCAAAAAAGGCGGTAAAACTGAACGAAGTATAGCTTAGGCAGTCCTCGGGGAATTAATTTCAAATCGACCAAGTGTGAGGTTCTTGCTTTTGTCTACGAGTGACTGACCCGAATGCACTTACCTTAAGCGTCTGACTCAGTTGAGTCATGTCTGCTTACTCAAGCTTACTCAGAGCTCTTTTTCACTCCCAATCTTCCATAGTGTATCAGTATTATTTTTACACCTTTTATCCGTTTGATGTAGGTTTGCGAGGTGCCGTTGCATTCGCTTTGGCCATGCGTAACACGGAATCAGTTCCTCGTCAGATGATGTTGACTTCAGTGCTAGTTGTGGTTTTAGTAACTGTTATTTTCAATGGAGGTGCCACCATGTCGGTACTCTCAGCTTTAAAGATAAGGTAAGATACCATTTAAAACATAGGGCAACAAAATCCAAGTAAAGACATGTTCATTTGCAGGAATTTGTCAAAGTCGTTTAGAAATCACTTCTGTCCCTTGCGATCTAATTTGCTCTCAGATTTCCGAGTAACTCACTGGTCATTCTCCTAAGAATAGCTCCAATTTCTAGAAGAAAACATTCATTTGTTGAGAGAATTCAGTACTTTTCTTTGAACGATGGAATCACAGTATGTGTAGTCCAAAATTGTGTTCTGTTACTGTTTAAAACCAATTTTAAAAGTAAATTCCATGTGTTTTTCAGAGTCGGCGTGGATCCGGAAGAAGAAGAGAAGCAGTCTACCTATGTTTCGGTCAGCACTGTATGTTCTTTCCGTATAAGTGTTCCACGTTACTTGCTAACGCCTTTATCGAGGCTACCAGAGATAATTAACTTGGAGACCACAAAATAACTAAAAAGAGAGTACAGTAGAGTCTCTTTTGCTCCGAGGAGTGTGGCCATGAATCCGTTTCTACCTAAATCTTGCTTTCATCTTTCTCCTCTGTGATTACCTCTTCCACCTCCTACTGAACTAGCAAAGGCAGCCATCACTTTATTTTTTCTCAAGACGTCAAATGTGCTATATTGTTTTTCTTGTTACGATATGGTTGGTCGCACAGTTAAGCCATTTTTTTTCGTCACTGCTCTGTCCAGTCCTCCTCTGGCTACAGAGGATTGTTTCATTTACACTCTATAAACGCAAAATTTTTACTCTCATTCGCTCTGACGAAGGGCTAACGTTCGAAACGTTAGCTTTGAAACTCTTTACGGTGGTCAATTGTATTCTCAACTCCGTTGTTAAAACCTAAATTACCTTATTTTACCTCTGTAGAGAGACGTGTTCAGTTTGGCATTAAAGAATTTACCAAATATAGAAAATTTGTTAGGTTTTTGTGAGCCTGTTCCTTTTTAATTCGATGAAATCATTCTGTCGAGGTCACTTTTGTTTTTGTAATTATTGCTATTCATTTTGATTATGAATTATTATTATTATTATTCAATGTTTGAAACTAAGTTTTTAGCTGCTTTACATCAATGTTAGAACTAAGAGTTACTTGTAAAATAGTTCAAGATATTTTCAGTTTGTAACTGTCTATTATTTGACCACCGGTGAATTTTCTTTTCTTTTTTTTATTGTTTAAATCTTGTAGAATGGAGACGAAAATCTTAGATCTGCGCAGACTCATTACGAAAGAGCGTGGATCTTCAGAAAGTGGTACGACTTTGATGTCAAATATCCTTTTGTGAAAGAGTTGCATTTCCTGCGATGCATGCCTCTGGAATAACCTCCTTGAGATTGGTGCTGTTGCATACAGCAAAGTGCATTGTACATGTCAGTAACTTTTTATTGGAACGGTTCAACAAATTAAGTTCGTTTGTTTTCTTTGGTTTATGGAGGTTTCGCCTTTTTCAAATTTGCCCCCTACCACCTTTGTAAGTTCGCCCCTTGAAGCAAAGCGGGTTCGCCCCCACTTATACCAGTTTTATGGCATGGATGGAACTACTGAGAAGATTATTCAAGACCGATCAATTTAATTCTGGAATGATTACATGTTTTGGTTGAATGATCGCAATTTAGTTTCTTATTGGATTTGTTGGAAACTTTACTCTATAAACTGGGTGAAAAGGCCTCACCAAAGTTATAGAGGTCATATCATTATATTGATTATAGTAAACTGCATTTAGAATGTAGTCAAGATTCCTGACTCGTTGATTAGTACGCTCATCAGCTTTTTTGGCGCAGGTCGCTGAGAAAAACAGCACGAAGGGGTATGTTTACAAAACTGTTGGTGTTTTATTATTAAAACAAGGGTGATTGGCAAATAGCCCTATAACGAACTGAAGTACATAACTACGGTCATTTCTCATGTTAATGAGCTCGGCTTTAGAGTGTTCTTTTGTAGGCTCCAGGTAAGTTTTTGATGAAGTATAACCTGTGCTGTTTATCAGAAATTTAAGTGCTTTTAACTGAATTTCTAACTTCTATTGACGCGTTTTGAAGGAATGGCCTTTATTAAGCTTCTACGTGGCCTAGACTCGCAAAGAAGACAAGCTTTATGTCTGCAGTAAATAAATTATGTGCTTTGTAGAGGCCATTTTGAAAAACCGAAACCCTGCTGTCAATACCCTGCTGCCTGGAAGACCCAGTTGGTAGTGGCAGCCAACCACTGTTTGGATGGCACGGGTCCAATCGAGATTGGTTGAATTCTGAAGTTTCTTTACCGACTTCAAGTCGGTTTTTCTGCATTGGCTCAATTGGCTCAATTTTATTCAAGGCGCGTCATAAGGAGTGTTTGCGCTTTTGAATATGCGCTTTTGAATATTTTATTGGAAAAGCGCAATACAAATAATAAATAAATGTTGTTATTGTTATTGCTGTTGTAATTTTATTACAAATTTTCTCGCAGCTTTCGACAAACGAGAGGGAATGGGAAAAAGGAAGAAACCCACTTTCCTTCTTTCGCGCTCCTCTCTCCCAACTTCCCGCTTGCTTTACAGCAGAGCAGAGCACATTACAGCAGAGGTCTTTTTATTACTGTAGGGTAAATGTAGTAAAAGCAACACTTATTTTAATTTCCTTGACAAACGCTACGTATATGAAGCCTATTTTTACTAACTATGGCCAGCCTCTGACAGAGACTTTACCGGGTTGGTGCGGTCCTCTTGCAAGATTCCTCTCAAGATCACGGCCTGATACAAAGGTACGGTTTCAAATTCGGGCAGAGGGGATTTCTAGATTAATGAATTTTTAATCGTTTGTCTCACGATGTAAGAGTCCGCATGCTAATCAATTGTGAATTGGTCGCAACGTTTCGACTGCTACACTGCTAGTCTTTGTCAGGCGACGAGGTCAAAGGTTTATACTTGTCACTTTTTATAGCACCTTGGATCGTTGTTATCGCTTTTAAATTCTTTAGTTCCTCCTCTAGTTTAGTGCCACGTTTCTTTGGTTCACACGCGAGACTTACAAAGTGACAAGTGCGGACGTTTCTCAGCTCTGTCACCCAGGCACCCAGGAGCATCAATTAGTGCTAGTTAACTGTTATTATTGAACCTGGAGAAATGCAGAGAAGAAGGGGGGGGGGGTTAACCTGCGATTTGCTGGCATTTCATCCAGGGGAAGTAGACGTCCTCTCAGGGACGATCTACGGTTCTTACATGCAACTTACATCCACAATGAAAGGTTACCCGGCTAAGCTTTTACTGGTTTTGTTTTAATGTAGACAGAAACCGTGGCAACAGATAGCGACGAAGACATGCTCAATATAAATGGACAACTGAGTTTTACCAGCGAAGTAATGGTCAGACCTGCAAGCGGCAGTGTGAACAGCGGTGAGCCACCTGACCAGATGAGGGAAGGCGACCTGGGACTAGGTGCTGAGCAAATGACAACCAGGGCATGAATAATTTTATCAAACAAAAGGTTTCTGTAAGTGCTTGACTATAACAACAAAAGTTTACCCCCTTGGAGTCAAAAACAACAGTTAATCGCCAAGTTTCAGCCTCAGATGAGTGCTTATCAATTAGCCTATAACTTAGAAAAAATCTGCTTCTCTTGGTGAAATATGACTACGTCTAGGAAAAACGTGTTTTTTTTTTTTTACTTGCCGTTAAAACTGGAATTACCTCTGGCATACTTAGCCGCGTAGGCTTATGCTGTTTATTTTGCTTCTCACCCACTGAAAATGTCGGGATCCTACAGTCTAACGTTTATAGCCTCCCATGTAGTATTCTTAGGAAGTCGCTACACTTCTTAGTCACAAAAGAATCGTATTTCTTGCCATTTTGTTGCTAGATCCATGCGTTTCCTATTGGCCATTTTCGATATATTGAGATTCTATCACGGCTCCGAGACTTGGGGGAATTTAACAAAAAAGATTAGTCCTTCTTCCCTCGACCTCGATGTGATTTTTTTTTGTTTTATTCCCCCCAAGCCTCGGAGCCAGTGAATTTTAGTATGCCGAAAATGGTCTCTCATTTCCAGTTTCTTATTTTTTCAAGCCATTTACCATTGAAGCGGTGTGAACGATGCCCGGTTCACGAACGGTTTAGATTTCAGATCTTAAGAAAGCAATTTTTACTGGCCGGGTTGCTGTTATAGAATGTCGGTTGCGGGCTCGCAAGTAACTGTTCAGGGTTACGTAACGCGTTGGAATGGACGTGCAATGAATTTGCAAATGGCGACTTCAGAGGGAGCTTAAAAACCGTCAAGTATTTACAATTTTTGTCCCCTTAATGGGATTCATAATTTTGAAGTAGTCTTTCCTCTCGTAACAATTTATTAGAGAGGAGTAATATTAAATGGCTGATCGTTTGAAAACATGTTTAATTCAGTCCCAACAGGGACAAGAAATTTCTTGCAAAGTCTGTTAATTTACTGATAAAAATAAAGATGAGATAGGAATTAAATTTAATTTCAATTACATCATTGATAGTCAAATTTTTTAAAATACCAGAAATTGGTTATGAAGGTGATATTTGTCATATGGGGAACACTTCATGTCTAAAAGCAAATCGACTACTCAACCTTCTGACTTTACTAATTAATATAAAGCGACAAAACTGGGATAAGCTCTCAAAGTCATAGTTAAAAAGTGATCTCTCTGAGGAAAAAATTAATTTAAAATTGAACATCTTATTTTAAAGATTGTACCTGTTGAGACTAGCTTGTCTATTTGTTTTGAATCATGTCTAAAAATGTTGAACGTAGGTGATAACTCCTTAAACTTAGTAAGCTTTTTATTTCTAGTTTTTCTATCTGTACTTAAGGTCATAGGTCACAATTGTTTTCCTTCAAGTAAAGCAATTTTTTCTAGCTGTTATGCGAGAAATTGTATTTGAAAGGAATTAAGTCATTCAGTTGATGCAAATTTAACGTGATTTTAATGAAATTCTCTATTTACACCACTTTGCCTGGAGGAAGTTAAAACATAAGAAGATTTTCCTATTAAAATTCGCTCAGATTGTAATAAATAGAATAATCCATAGAACACTCTCGTCTTACTTTTTTTTTCTATCGTTCACGGCATATCGGTACTATTACGAGATAGCACCTTCATCTTCAATATTTAGTTCTTTGTCTCAAGACATTAGATCTTAAGAGAAAGATATCAACTAAGCCACCAATAATTTGTATGAGAGATTTGATATCTTGCGAAAATGTATTTTTCTCAAATAAAGAGTAATAGCTTATTATCAAACTTTGTTCGGTTTCACATTTACTTGGAATTGTTTATGGTTTTTTTTATTGTTTTGGGAGTTATTTTTCCGTGGTGTTTTCTTTTTTATCATTATTGTTATTAGACTAGTGTTTCTTTTAGCGCATTTGTGTCACTCACTCAATTTTAGATCGTAACACAAGAAGAAATGTTTCCTTGTTTATATTCCGAGCATTTCCATTGTAGAACGAGCACTCAGGTTTGGAGAAAACATCATTTTGGAGAAATATTGTCATTTATTATTTAGGGAGTTTTGTATTGGTCATGAACGTCCTTAATGCACTGTATTGTTTTTTTCGAAAGCAGGTTGAAAACAGTTTGATTTTTTCTTTAATTGATCTAGGTGGAAGGGAAAAAGAAGTGCCCCTATCCATAAAAGTACAAAAACTAATCTATTTTATCATGTTTGCACTGTTAATTTTTTTACGATAACTGTAATTACGATAATTGGAAAATGAAAAGTCTCAAATTTTAATGTCCTCTTCAGCTACGATTTCCTTCAGTTTATCTCCCTGCAGGAGAAAAAAGAGAGGAAGCATTCTACAGGGCTCCCTTTTTTTTTTTTCTTTTTTCTTAATTTTAAGTCTTTGGAAGGGCTCGTCTCTGATAAAAACTTGGACATTTTTTCTTAATTTTAAGTCTTTGGAAGGGCTCGTCTCTGATAAAAACTTGGACATTTTTTCTTAATTTTAAGTCTTTGGAAGGGCTCGTCTCTGATAAAAACTTGGCCATTTTTGGGAAAACAATTTGATTTTTCGGAATGAACTATTTGAAATGCCAAGGCACATCAAGAAAAAATAAACAAAAGCCGATTCAGCTCTATGTTAAATATCTAAAGATTAAACTTTAATGGTTGAATAGTTTGTAAAAAAAAAAAAAAAAAAGAGTTAAATGAAAACAGAAATGAATCAACAAGGTCTAACTCGTTGATGGTACACTTTATCTAACCTCAAACTTGCAATAGAAATTTCACCTGGTATTGCAAAAAAATTTGGTTTTCTCACTACCTCTCTTAAAACTGTGTCACATCAAGTCGTTGGTAATGTTAGACCTTGGAATACGACTTTTCATGTCTCACTGTTCGTTTTGTTTGTTTCTTGCCGTTTTGGAAATAGTCAGAAATATTTACATAAGCCTCATTGTCGCAGGATTTCGACCTCGGTTTTGTACGAGTCAGATCTGTGGAGCTTCTCGGTGAAATTGTTTATTTGGTGTGTGTTGGTAGAGGGTAAACCTTTCCTTTGCTACTTCTCCCTTTACGTTGCTGGGAACTTTTATGTTGGACTGTTGTGATTGCCGTGATAGCTCACGAAGGTTCGTCCGGCGGGGTACCGCATGAAACAACTGAATCACGAGGACACTGATAAAGCGTTAGATCAGAGATGGATCTTCCAAGAGCCGCTTTAGGTCCCTCGTCAACTTTTCCGGCGATGTCAGTGGAGGAGAATGTTTTCTGTATCGAGCTAATTGTTTTCCCGTTGCGTCCTGGTAGCTCTTTGGATGCAGTGCTGGAGTCGTTTTTGTTAGAGGATTGTGCGGCATCAATGGATTGCTGGTTATTCCTTGATGTTTTCATCCCCAACAACCCTTGAACGGCGTTTCGAAAACGACGATCACTGTAGAAGTACAAGACAGGAGTTAATATAGAATTGAACTGCACGAAAACCTCTGATAGCCGGAATGTGGAGTTCATGCGAAAAACGGGGAAAAAGTTACCCAACGTGGCAATGACGATTGAAGGAACAAACGAAATCAGAAGTCCAGCTGTTAATAAACGAGTTGTCTTAGCAACTTTAGATTCGAGTTTTGCTTTTATCATGCTAGTAACCTGGCTAGTTTGGTTTTGCTTTCGCTTCCGAAGTCCGAGGAACACCATGATGTAAAAATATGCGATGGCGAACAAACAAGTTACAACCAGAATGATTTCAAGTGCAAGCCATTGATCAACAATTTTTCGGTCCACACCAATGATGATCATCGCAACGGTTGGAATCTGTTTGAGGATTGCCAACAGCCAAGCAGTGGCTCCGAGTATTTTAAGGAGACGTTTGGTTACTTTGTTTCTGTAATCCGTCGAACATTTTATGGCCATGTATCTCTCCCAAGCAATGGCTGTTAAGTGATATAACGAAGAACTGGAGATCAAGAACATCAAGCATTTGTTTACAACTGAATCGAACGTGCACACATGCTCCACTGAAACCTGGGTAAGCATTAGAACATCGACTATGGCAGACATTGGCATAGTTATAGCTCCTGTTGCGAGATCAGTAACAGCCATGCTTCTCAGCAAAATATTGGAGAGTTTTTGCAGTTCTCTGCTTTTCGTCAA